GCATCAGGGACCGCGGTTCAATCCCCCAGCACCACATGCCAGCCAGCCCCGCCCCCTGGTGGGCTGAGCTGGCCACACACACTCTCTCTCTCTCTCTCTCTCTCTCTCTCTCTCTCTCTCTCTCTCTCTTAAAAAAAAAGACTTATGAATAAAAACATGATTCAGATCATGCTGAGCAATGAAAACTTATTTTGACACATGGTACATTTTGAAGCGAAATAATTCATTAATTTCTGATGCCTCAAAAAGGGTTTGGTTCTACTTTTATCCAAGGAATATTCCAGTTTTTATCTCAATCCCAAGATTAGAAAATTTTGAGTAGAAATTTACAAAAAAGCCTCTACAACAATTATATTGCTTACCTTTCTACCTTGTAGGATCATATTCTATCAAATTTTAAAAATCTGTTTGAAGGAATTTTAACACTATAAATTCTAAGTATAAGAAAAATAATTGAATTTATCAAGATACAATTAAAGTTAAAAAGAGCCAATAAAAGGGGCTTAAAACAGAAGTAGGAAAATGTACACTTAGTAGTATTTTTTAACTTTTCAATTGACAGAATAATGATTGTGTACTTTTATGGGGTATACTGTGAAGACTGGGAGTTTTGCTTACTTGCTTTGGTGTGGGCTATATTCCCAGTACTTTTTTTTTTTATCTTAAAACAGGTTTTCACTAAATTACTAAATTGCCAAGGCAGAGCTCAAACTTGCAGTCCTTCTGCCTCAACTCCCAAGAGTTCTGGCATAACACACATACACCAACACACTAGGAGATAGTGCGAAGTTCTATCAGCCAATCCATGGTAAACCACTGAGTCAAGTTAATTATCACTCACTCCCTCACCTTGGTGACCACAGTTTGCAATAATGTATATTTAAATATTGCTAATATGATCATCTTTTTTAACTGAGGATCATCTGGAATCCACATAATGTTGGCTGTCAGGGCATAAAAGTCCATATTTGTGTCTCAGTGCCAGTTAGAGTACAATGGCTAAACTACTCTAGAAGCCAGCACTGCTCAGACCTACATTTGCACATGAGCCACTTGAGAGCCCTGTAGAAATGCAGGTTCTGCTTCAGCAAGTTTGGGGCAGGGCTTGAGCATCTTATTTCTAACTCCAGGGACTGTGTAGACTGCTGAGTGTCAGGCCATAGTTTGAGTAGTGAGACTGTCCTACATGGGACCAGCCCTGGAAAGAGCTGTATATACAGAGCAGTGGGCGAAATACTCAGCGTCAGAAAAGCCTAAAAGTGCAGATCTTTATCAGAAAGAGATTAGAACAAGACTTGTCTGTGTCATGATCTAAGCTCAGATGGTAGGATGAAAAAAAATAGAAGCGGTGTGGGTGAAGGGGATAATAAAACAGCAGTGGCTGAATGATGCTCACCTGGGCTGGTCTTTCACAATTCCAAATGTGAAAACCCCTTCAAGAAGGATAAATCAGCCACTTGATAAAAGGATCCTTCAAGACTCATTGCCAATGATTCTTTACTAACTAAATACTTAGAGGAGTCCCTAGATCTTGAAAGAACTGTGTGTTTTTAATGGATAAACTAACGTGTAAGAGTCTTAGACTAACTCAATGCTCATACTATGACTTACCATAATCCTGTTTCCCAGTGAGACTAACTGCTCTTTTTCCTAGGAAAAAAAAACACGAAGGGAAGAATAAATCTTTATGTAAAGAGGTCAATAACCTTGGAGCTCAATACCCATCTCTCTCTGTTCTAAAACACCCTAATCCTCAGGCTTCCAAACACAGTAAACTATGGTCACTTGGACTGCCTGAACCACTATAGATAGTCTGATATCCACAGAGGATGGGTTACAGAATGTCACCGATAATAAAATCCAAAGTTGATTTGAAACTGTCTCATTGCTCTCTGTTTGTCAATAAAACTTTGAAAAAATAAAAAAAATAAAATAAAAATAAAAAAATAAAATATAAAAAAAAATAAAATAAAATAAAATCCAAAGATGCTCAGGTCCTTCTATGAAATGCCTTAATATTTGTACCTAGCCTATACATCTATTCTCATATGCTTTAATCTGTATATTGCATATTGCAATGTAAATGCTATGTAAATAGTTGTTGCGATTAATGACATTCAGGTCCATTGTGGGCCTAACTATAGTACATGTCAGAGAGTCTGTAACATTTTCAATTCTTGGTTGAATTTGCTCATGGAAATGGAGAACCCACATGTGGAGACTGAGGTAGAGATGAGAGGATGACATACTTAATACCAAAGCCAATGATAATGAAGATTTAATATTAAGAAATTACTAAAAAACACAAAAAGGTATAGGAGGGAGAAGGTATGGGATGGCAAAATAACAGCTGCTATACAACCTTGTATCATGTAGATAATTTATGCAGACTCAAAAATATTATCACACACATAAACTGCATCAGAACATGAGGCATTTTGTTTACTTTCACTTTGTGGTACTACTTAAACCTAGGAAGATACATTAGTCATGAAAAACTTAATATGCCTTAAGCACATCTATTTATATGCAAAACAGTCAGTGTAGATGAGGGGAAAAAGATGAAATTCAAGTCCAACAGACCCACTTTAATTAGATCATGAATGACTTTCATCTTTAACAGAATCTCCTGCATAGTAGTCATGGGGCAGGCTACTCTACTTGGAAGGTATAATTTATGATTGTTTGGGGAGGGGGTGAGTGACATGCCACCTTGAACAATAGTAGCATTCTAAATCCACAAGATTTACCAGTGTTAAACAAAAATATTAACACTCTCAAGGAGCACTCCATTTTTGGTGCTTTATCAACTTGAGCCCCCTAACAATACTGAAAAGGGTTTCCAGTGTTGAACTATCATGCAGAAATTATAACGCCGGGACTCAGCACTGATGCTTTTCATCAGTCTAAGTGCAGCAAATCATTAGGAATCAGAGTCAGAAAAAGGATTCCAGGAAAGCAAGAAAGTTAAAATTGCATTCATTTGGGAAACATAAAAACATGGTAATTAGGAACAAAAGAACTTTTGGGACTTACTTTAGAGAATACAAAATAAACACACAAAAATCAACATGTTTCATACAGCAACAATGAATATACTAAGGAAGAAAATAAAAAACAATCCCATTTGCAGTAGCTTCAAAAATTTAAATACCTAGGAAATAACCTAGCCAAAGAAGTGAAAGACCTTTAACAACAAAAACAATAGTGTTCTCAAAAAGGAGATCAAAAAGACGTCAGAAAATGGAAAGATATCCCTTGTTCTTGAATAGGCAGAATCACTATTGCAAAAAATGGCCATACTACCAAAATTGACATTTATATTTAATGCAGTCCTGGTCAAAACACCAACAATATCCTTCATAGAAATGGAAAAAGCAATCATAAAATTTATGTAGAACCAGAAAAGACCAGAACAACAAAAGAAATCCGGGGCAACAAGAGCAAAGCAGGAGGCATCACAATGGATTTTAAGATATAAGACAAATCTACAGTGACAAAAGCAGCATGGTACTATCACAGAAACAGACATGCAGATCAGTGAAACAGAGTAGGGGATACAAAAAGTATCACAGGCACCTCCAGCTCTTTGATCTTCAACAAAGAGGCCAAAAACATAGGCCAAGAAAAACACAGCCTCTTGAACAAATGGTACCAGAAAAACCGTATTTTGTACCTTATATTACAGTAAAATAAAATGCATAAAATAAAAATGGATCAAAGACATAAATATAGAAACAAAAACAATCTGCTGGAAAATAAAACAGGTAAAATTCTTGAGGACAGGTACAGGCATAGGCATAAAATGTAACAAAGAATCAACAAATGGAATTATGTCAAATTTAAAGGCTTCACCACAAGAAGGAAATAGCCAACACAGAGAAACCTACAAATGAGAGAAAAAAAATGTTTCTAGCTTCTCCTTGGGCAGAAGACTAGTATTTGGAATATGCAATTTTAAAAACTTCCAAAACACTAGATTCCTAAAAATGAAAGACCCAGTCAAAAAGTGGGTAATTGAAATGAATGACACTTCTCAAAAGTAATAGTAAAAATGGCTAATAAGTGCCTGAGAAAATGTTCACCATTTTTGGTCATTAAAGAAATGCAAATCTGGGGGCTGGGGAGATGGCTCAGTGGAATAAGCGCTTTCCAGGCAAGTACAAGGGCCTGAGTTCAATCCCTGGTTCCACCAAAAAAAGAAAAAAAAGAAATGCAAATCAAAACAATATAGATATTCCACTTTACTCTAGAAAGAATGCACTGTCACCAAGAAAGCAAACCAAAAAATACTGATGAAGTTATGGGAAAAATGAAACCCTTGTACACTGTTGTTGGAATGTAAAACTACTATACCCTCTGGAAATCAGTGTGGTGATTTTTCAAAAGTAAAACAGACATTCATTCCACTTGCCCCAGCTATACACATCTGGACATTTTCCCAAAAGAGAATGAATATTCTTCCATACCCTAATGTTATGTGAAATTAGGCACAGATGGTTGAATATTACATGGTTTCTCTTACAGTAGAGACCCAAAAATATAAATAATTTCAAGGGCAAAATAAAAGATAAATGGTAGGAAACAAGGAAGTAGGCCTTTCAGAGATGAGAAGATCCAGTTTAGAGAAAGAGGGGAGATGAGACAGAAGAGGAAGAGGAAATGATAAGATTTAAGATGTGATATGTGTGTACCAGCTTTCTACAGTGAGTGTATTTCTTATGTACTGCAAACATGTATAGTGAAAAATAAAATTAAAAAGGGGAAATAATTTAAGTCCTTTATGTTTAGTCTATGCAGAGCCCAGTTAAGCCATCATGAAATGACTTTGGATATTTTGCTTTTCATATCAATCCTTATATTCCTATATGTTATTATTTTAACTATTAGATCATGAAGGCAAATTGTATCACATAACCAACAAAAATACATAAAATTACTATGTCCTGGGTATACTTCTCCACTTACATTATCTCCTTTAATAGTCACGACTTTTGAAGTAGTTACAATAACCACTGGCTCTTGCAGTGCCCCTGATGGACCCGTCAATGGGTAAAGATAGGATAGGCTTCCTCTTGGGATGTGTTTTTGTCAGGGGCTCAGTTTCCTATTCCTGAGACCACCTGCTGGTCTTTGGCCCTAAGGCCATACCTCTCTGCTACTAGGCCTGATAACTGGATCTAGCTCTCAGGACTCCAATTGCCTGGGATAGATTATGACTGTGAATGGCCATCATTCCCAGAGCCATGATGCTGCCACTTACCTGAATTTCCAGCATGTTCTCATGGAAGGAACTCCTGTGCCCTGCCTGTCCAACTGGACGCTCATTGGTTGCTATTGCCTCCCCAAGTTGTACCTGATCTTGGCAAGTGCATTTTCCTGCTGTCCCTGTACAGCCAATGTCCTCATTCCCTGCTGTGTTCTGGCCTCCACCTTTGCCTACTTAATGACCTCTGCTATGGAGACCTGCTACTTGCAGAAGTCTGATGTTCATTCTATGTCATGTGAGGAAAAGGTTGGTTATAAACTGCTTGCTGGCAATGTCAGAAATTGTTGACTTGAGCCTTTTACAGCTCAGCATATTAATATAGCTTTACTTTTTATACTTTATTTTTATACTTTTCTGCTGGATGGTTAAGACCAAGATAAAGCAAGACCTATATAACAAGAAATGTAACTTTTGTATCTGATTAGGTCAGTCAAATCCTCTCAGGATCTAACCTGAAACCCTGTACCACAGTTTGTAGATCCTTTGTGAGTATCAGTCATGTGGATGAATCACGGTCATTGCTTGACCAATTTGTTCTCTGTGAAAGCCTGAGAGAATGTTTTCTCTCCATGTGACTCTCCTTAGGCACACTCTACATCATCAGTCACATTCCTCTGTGGCCACATAATCTCCTTGATCAGAAAATTTGGGCCACGATTGAGTTACATGATGTTACAGTACAGGTTCTCCTATGTCCTGAGTCTTCACTGACCTTGAAAGGCTAGAATCAAAATTGCTGGCTGTCCTTGCAGCCCTTCTTTTTCTCTAATTTTTGGTCTGCAAACTTAGGTTGTTAACTCTTTAGAAGAGAAGCTTATTATTCCCTTACAACATAGACAGTTGAGCTTAACCTCATTATCTGTCTGAATAACAAAAATCTTAGACATAACATGGAACAGGTATTTTCCATCAAGTATTGATATGTTAAACTTTGAGTTCCTATAAAATATGAAGAAAAAAATTAAAATTAAAAAATAAAAAATATTTTAAAAAATAAGAATAAACAATTACATATTTGTACACAGAAATTTAGAAATCTAACCATATACAGCATTGTAGCAGGACAGTCCTGTGACATTTCTTTTCTTGTCTTATGTTTTCATTTATTACCCTTTTTTAAAAAACAAACATTTACTTGAGAGCCAGTCCTTTTATTGACTACTAGACCATATTGGAATATTTTGCTGAATTCACACATCTACAATATTTAAATGGCAATGGAATACCCTTCTCTAATGAAACTAAAGAAAAAAATGGGATATAAATAAATGACCATTTTGTATCTGTATATTCAAAATAGTTAGAATAGATATATAGCTACTTCCTCTTAATTCAATGAATAGAAAGATTTGTTCTAATAGTGTTCGTGGACAGGATATCA